ATTTCTTTTTAATATATTTGACTAGAATAGTTCTTTAAACAGAAACATTTTCTTTCACATAGGAAAGGCAGGAAAAATTATATCCCTTCATTTGCCAGGTTTCAAATGATGAGATTTCCCCACTACATTCTCTATAGGGGCTTAATGCATTTGTTATTTTGCATAGCAGTATGACCACGTGGATTTAAACATACTTAATGTTTCTTTTCACCATAGGTATGCCCATTGATGCATAAAGTGTCCCATTTTGATGCAGTGGGGGCTTCACCAAATTGTTTGAATTTTTTTGACACAACTCCACTGGCTTATTGTATATATCTACATTCCCTTCCAATTCTTCCCTGCCTCAGACTGGAATCAACCATTTCTCAGAGAAAGCTCAGTTGTTTTTAATGAGAAAAGGTATTTAGAAACCATAGTCTGGGAGCTAGTGGTGCTCACTTCTATCAGTCATTGTTTCCAGGCTTTTTGAGAGGACAGAGCTAGAAAACAAACTTTTCTAAGATAAAATATTAATATATCATGAGTTCATAGTGATACTTATAATTCATGTTCCGAGCTGGATGTTTTATTTAACCTTGACAATTCTTTATTTTCATCTCCTTTCTCTTATGTTGAAGTCCCAGTTCTCAATATTAACATTTCTTTTTGTTTTATCTCACAACACAAACAATACAGACTCAGAATAACAATACTGACACTACCAAAGATAAGATTACTGAAAACAACTATAAAAATGCTTTCAGTTTTTTGTCCTTAGGATAAGTCCTCAAGAGATGAAACAATGTACTGTGTCACTTGAAACGGTTTTGCTGTGTGGTACCAACTGGACGCAAAGGTTTATTAATTGCATTTTGCTTTTTGATTTCTAGGCATGACATTTGGTTTATAATTACGTTAATTCCAAAGTCAAATCTATACTCTGGGAATCCTCAAGTATAACTTCCATTCTTTTCCCTTATGCCTGTTCTTTTTTGTCCCCAAAGCTATTTTTTAAAGGCTTTATTCTTTCATTTTTTAAACAAAGCAGATATGCGTATATACTTTAAGTCAAACTGTGTACCTTCCTTCACCTTGTTTTCCAGTTAATGATTAATAATCAGTTGATTGGCTGGGTGTAGTGGCTCATGCCTGTAATCCAGCACTTTGGGAGGCCAAGGTGGGTGGTAACTTGAGCCCAGGAGTTTGAGGCCAGTCTGGCCAACAGGGCAAGTGTCCCATCTCTCCAAAAAACAAAATAGTCAGGAATGGTGGTGCTTGCCTGTAGTCACAGCTATTCAGGAGGGTGAGACAGGAGGATTGCTTGAGACTGGGGAATTGAGGTGGTGGGCCATGATTGTACCAATGCAATCCAGTTTGGGCAAGATAGTGAGACCCTGTCTCAAAAAAATGAATAAATATGCTGGGCACAGTGCCTCATGCCTGTAATTCCAGTCCTTTGGGAGGCCAAGGCTGGATGGATCACCTGAAGTCAGGAGCTCAAGACCAGCCTGGCCAACATGCCAAAACCCTGTCTCTACTAAAAACATAAAAATTAGCTGGGCATGGTGGCAGGTGCCTATAATCCCAGCTACTTGGAAGGCTGAGGCAGGAGAATTGCTTGAACCCAGGAGGTGGAGGTTGCAGTGAGCCGAGATCATACCACTGCACTCCAGTCTGGGTGACAGAGCAAGACACTGTGTCAAAAAATAAATAAATAAAATAAAATAAAATAAAAATAATTGTAGCACCACTCTAAAGCAAGTTAGGGAACTATTCCTCAATTCTTTTTACAGTTGTATAGTATTCCACTGTGTGAGTATACCACTGTTAACTCAACCAGTGCCCGACTGATGGAGATTTAGGTGTTTTGCTATTACAACAATTAGGTTAATTTGGACAAAACAGAAAAGCAAGGCTGAGAGGGTAATTTGTTCAAGTTCATGTAGACAGCAAGCATGTTAAGTTAGATTTGGCTAGAGTAATGTAAGAACTCAAAAGAATAGTGGTTTGAATACTGTGCTCAAATGTAAATGGCAGGTAGGGCAGGGCTGGTATGAGTTTGAGTTTGGTATGGTATGGTATGAGTTTCAGGAGTTTCTCAAAGACCCATGCTCCTTCAAACTTGTCCAGCAGCACTTGACTTCCATACATCATGGTCCAAGGTGGTTGTGACAGCTGTAGCTAGAGCAGCCACATTCTAGCCAGGAGGAAGGAGGACAGGGTAAAGAAAAGCATGCCCTGATCCTCAGGGATACCTTCAGAATTGGAAAGAACCACTTCTGCTGTCTACCCATGGTGAGCTCCATTGCACTTATGTTGACCTTCATGGAAACTCTTCTATGCTGCTGGTGAGTTCCTGGACACCCAAGTGAGGACCTATACAGGTCTGCTCTGTACCTCTGGTGAGCTCTTTTAAACCCATGGTGTTTCTATATGGCCAAGGTGATCTCATCTATGCCTATGGTGTCTTCTACACCCATGGTGAGCTCCCTTCCCCCCAGGAGGCGTTCTGCTGGAATGGGCTATCTACCCGCAGTAGGATCTCACACCTGCGTTAACATCTTCACATGTGGAGAGCACTTCAGTGCCCAGGGTGACCTTAGATCATGACTGCTTCAAACATCTGGAAAGCACTTGAGTTCCCCTCAACACACACTAAGTTCCCCTACCTTCTGGTGATGTGTGCCTCTCCCCATGGAGTGTGATCTGGTCCTGATTTGCGGCCCCCTCTATGTCCATGGTGAGTTCTATTACCCATGGGGAGTTCCCAAGTAGGGGTGGGGCATTCCTCTACCTCCAAACCTCTCAGCCATGGGGATCTCATCTATACCCTCAGTCAGTTCTATGTCCTTGTTTCCAACAGGTTCTTGCACTAACTGTTCTACTAGCTTCTCCAAATGCATGAACTATAGCCTTAAATGTCTCCTGAAACAAGCTTCTTTTTCTGCACCCCCTAACCTGTGGCTGTCACCTGTTTTCCTAGCTTAATTAACAGAATGACCTTCATCCAAGATAGAAACCTCAGTTGGCCTTGGGCTCTCCCTTTGCCTCTAGCCCAAATACAAAGGAGCCAAATGCCCTTGAGTTCTTGTTATTTTTTTAATCTGGGTGCGTGGGATCTTCTCATAGCTTTCACGGCAGTTCAGGTTCAGTCTCCCTCTTTTGCTTAAGTAATTTCTGCAGGTCTTTTTTACTGGTCTTGCTATCTGTTTCTTTCGCTTCAACAGTACTCCCCACTGCTTTTTGAGGTGACTTCCTATAAAACAAAAATTCAGCCAACTGTTAATAGTGGTTAACATGGGTGGGGGGAGGGGAGGGGATAATGGGAAATGTGTCTATTTCTGACATGATTGGATTATTTACTTATTATTTTGAGATGGAGTCTTGCTCTGTCACCAGGCTGGGGTGCAGTGGCGCAATCTCAGCTCACTGCAATCTCCACCTCCTATGTTCAAGTCATTCTCTTGCCTCAGCCTCCCGAGTAGCTGGGATTACAGATGCACACTGCCACACCTAAGCTAATTTTTGTATTTTTAATAGAGACGGGGTTTCACCATGTTGGCCAGGATAATCTTGATCTCCTGACCTTGTGATCCACCCACCTCAGCCTCCCAAAGTGCTGGGATTACAGCCACGAGCCACAGCAGCTGGCCATGATTGGATTTTTAAAATAATAAGGTATACATTTCCTATTATCAGAAAAATTAGTAAATAAAACAGTAGGCTGCCTTTTGTCTTTAGGATACACTCCAAACTTCATTTGGTGGCTAGTCTTCCCCAAAAAAGGGCTCTCACATTCCTCACATGGAATTTCTTCATTCCCAACAATGCCTCACTTTTCCGGTTGGGCCAGTGTTTACTGGCCTAACAAATACAGCGTCCCCACAGCCTCTGCTCTCTACCTTGGTGGTCCTAGTGTTCTATGCAGGATCAGAAAGCACTGAGAGCATTCGACAGACAATTAACCTGACACAAGGACCTAGATGAATAACGTCTTTGGAAGGGCTGGGTAACAGGAATCAGGGACAACTCTGGATCCACAGGGTTCAGGAACAATCTGCTGAGGCAGTCATCCAAGAGTTAGAAGGCTGCACTGCCACAACCACTACAGCTAGTGCTCGACTTACGACCATGATTGGTTCTGACAGACCAGTCGTAACACGATTTGGTCCTAAGTTGAGTAGGCTATATTCACGCAGAGATAGTAGTGCTGGCAGAAGCTGGTCCGCACTGTCGTACGCCCAGCTGGGCAACGTTTGCGCTGCCAGATGCGGAGCAGTCGTGGCTAGCGATTGTGGTCGTAAAGTCGAATGGTCGTAGGTTGCATAGGTCTAAGTTGATCAATACAGTGGAACACTGGTCTAGTCATTCCAACTGGCTGGCATGTCTCTTCAAACTTTCTTATCTGCAGCCACTATAGTAGGAAGGTGCCCCTATGTCATGCTGCCTTCCAAACCGAATATGCACTCAGAAAGCTAGCTGCAAGGGAGTCAAGTAGTTTTCAGCTTTCTAGCCTCTGTAGTGGAGGACAGGCACAAAAGCAAGTGAGATGGAAATCATGGGCCAATTGATAGTGCCCAATGCAGATACTGCTGGGAAGTCAAGAACAGACAAAAGGCTGCCTCTACTGGCCTTGATTCTTAGGACAAGCAACAGAAGGGCTGCAGAAGTGACATAAAAAAAGCCTAGTTTCAGGAAAAAGCACTCCTAAAGAGTTGGCCATGATGTGGGACTGAAAAAGGTCAAGGCCAAGGGCAATGCAAAGGCCTGTATGAGCTTCAAAGGAGACAGGAAAGAGAAGGTTCTGAGAGACAGGAAATACGTCCAAGAATTGGGCTTTCAGAATAGGATTCCAAATCATATTCTGAGTATAACTCCTGCAAAATCCTCCAGTCTGCTTTGGTTTCTAGAGACCATAAATTGCTCTAAAGTTATCTATAGGGAAAAGATCACCAGGACCATTTAAGAAGAATCAGGGACAACCATAACACTTTAGAAATACATAGGACACAAGGTACTTCAATTTTCTCCTTTCCTCAACAGTTTTATTGCCTTTTAAGAAAATTTTTGTAAAATATAAATACAAAGGCAGAGAATTTACTTACAAAGTTAAAACACAGATTTCAAACATAAACACACGATTCAGAAAATTTTAGTTTTATGTACATTTCCGAGCAACCTCAACATATTATGTTAGTTTTCAATATTTTACAGGGTACAGAAAAAAATAGCTCAAAGTCTTCTTTAAATAAGAGCATAAAATGTTTAAACATATAAACAATCCGGTTTGATGCGTGAAAACTAATTTCACAGCTTTTAAATTAGAATATAAAAGTTTCATACAATTAGTTGTTGTGTGTGGATATGGTTTGAATTTATATTACATACTACTGGATTACATCCAATAGCATTTACCTGGCCCGAGCAGGTACTCTGTAAACAAAACAAAGTTATATCACCAAGTGCCTTCCTCAAATTCGCTCCCTGAAACCAACCACACAGTTCTGACCACTCTACACAGTCATGGCCTCTGTCATCAGAGCTTTGTATGAAATTAAGTCAAAGTGTGGAGCTCTTTTTCCTCATTTTTTTTCTCTTTAAAAAAGAAAAGAAACAAATGTTCCAAGTAAAAACAAACATATCCCAAAGCATGTGAGCATTGAAAAGTAAAGAAACATTATAACAGCTTCATAAAAACTGACTTAAAAGTTTAAAAGTAAAAGAAAAACATGTTTCTAAGTCCTTCTGACTGGAGTAATTTCTCTTATATAAAGAAGAGATATTTTCATATGTAATAGTGTCCTTTCTTTACAGAAATAGTCGTATTATGACACATATGCACAAGGATTAACACTATAACACACTGTACACAGCGGGTCTGGCTCGCTCACCAGTAGTCCTCTGAGACCAGATCGCTTGGGTGGAGCCACTCTACGGAGGAGCCCAGAAGAGTCTGAATTTCATTTGTGAATTCCACCAGATCTAACAGCTCCTTACTTTCAGGGTTGAAGGCTTCCAGGTCTTTGGAGCAAGAGAACAAGAGACTTGCAGAAACCTGCCGATAAAACTCTGCCTCTGCAATGGTGACAATTTCCACGTTTGGAAAATTGCAGCGAAATATGCGGGACGACATTTTCAATTTCTTAAGGACATCTGAAAGCAGTAGCCAGTTTCGTGGCCTACAAAACAGAAAGGAAAATGCTTTGAGTTTCCAGTAAAATGAAAAGTGCTCCCAACTATTAATATTAACTACCAACCCAACTGGACCAGCCTCTAGCTGTGTAACAAGGGCCAGTTCCTTTGACTCTGCTCCTGCCCCTCATTTCTCACCATACCTACTCTCTGATTGCCATTTCTTTCTAAGGTGAGGGAGAGTAACTACTTCTAGCAGTAGGAACTCTGAACTCAACTGTCCATCTAGGGAGGACCATCCGAATAAGCCTCATTTCTCCCTTTTCTGGTGGTAAAGTCCTGCTCATTCAGCTGTGACCACAACCCGGGTCACGCCTATCCAAGTGCCCTGTTATCAACAGTCACTGGGGGATTAAGTCTGTGTATCCCCACTTCTTCAATCTCTTCTCTCCTCAGACCCTCACTAACAGCATTACAAATACACAAGGCTGTCTCTCCTTTCCATTCAGGCATGTCCACTGCCATCCTTTCATTCTTTTGGGAGAAGGAAGGTGTTACATTCCTTGCATATATAACCCACCATACTTTATGAGTTGATCACTGTTTGTAATCATGTTTATAGCTTCAGACCTGAGGAGGATGTTACTCATTAAGCAGCTTTGTCAATACACAGCAGAGCAGTCTCTTGACAAGTACACCCAAAGTGATTGGTCACTGGCGTTTAGGGGCTCAACCATAGGGGGCAGAGGGGATTAACTAAATCTGATGACACACCAATGTCCTAAGTGTCATGTATAGTGACTATCCTCATCTTATACAAGGTGGTTTATCAGTGTAGTCCGGTACATCTCAAAGGCCTGGGAAGGCTCCTACAGTGGCCTGCGGCAGGAAGTCCTAGGGAGGACACCTTCCCAAGGTGGTTAGGGATTGAAGTACCCAAGGTGCTGACCCTTCCATAAAGTTCCCAGTCACCCACTTCAACTTCCTTTGGGTTCTGGGGAGTGACTTAAGCCTTGGTGTTAGTGATAAAGGCAGTTTATACCATGCCGTGCCCCACCCCCCACCACACTGGGTATAAGGAAGCTGATACGTACCCCTTCTGGAAAAGATCTACTGCATTGTGTGAGGTTCATGGACAGTTAAGGAGTTCACTCGCCCACCCACCCTCATCTGCTTAAAGGGCATTTCTAACTCCTGTCACCTCAAGAGCAGCTCAGCTAGTTTTCAACCACATGATAGTCATGCTTACCCCTGAGCCACAGATACTTGGATGTTATAACACGGTAAGAGGGGGGTCTCCGAAAATTCAAATTCAAACACATCACTATAGGCATCGTCATCATCATCCTGGTCTTCTGGTCCTGGGGGGTTCGCTAAAACATCATAGCCACTTTCGTCGTCTGGTTCTAACGGAGGGCAAATGAGAGAGGAAGTAATCAGTAAACTACAGCAAGATATCCAGTTGTCAACAACAAGGACTTTAAATAACAAGATTCTTTCCCAAGTGAGTCCTGCTTCCAGTGCCCGCTTTCCCTCACCCATACCAGACAGACATGGACTGGAACTTGTTCACCTCCCACTGAACTAGCGCAAACAATGCAGCTTACCACAAACAGAGCTGCCGTAAAAGTCCCAAGAGCCACCAGAGTCATCATCGCTGCGACCCTGTAGGTCATTTAAGTAATCTGGAGAGAGAGAAAATAAAAAACAAGATAAAACCTACTGTTGAGAACAAAATGATGGAGAGCCATGTGGCATTTTTTCTATACATTCACAACAGGCTACAGGTCATTTCCTGTCTTCCTCTTTCTCAGCAAAATAAAGTAGGATTATACTTATGTATCTCTTCTTTTTTTTGTTTTTGAGACAGTCTCGCTCTGTTGCCCTGACTGGAGTGCAGTGGCACTATCTCGGCTCATTGCACCCTCTGCCTTCCGATTTCCAGACTCTCCTGCCTTAGCCTCCCAAGTAGCTGGGACTAGAGGCGTGTGCTATCACGCCCAGTGAATTTTTTAATTTTTCGTAGAGATGGGGTTTTACCATGTTGGCCAGGCTGGTCTCAAACTCCTGACCTCGGGTGATCTGCTGCTTCAGCCTCCCAAAGTGTTGGGATTACAGGCGTGAGCCACCATGCCCAGCCTATTTATGTATCTCTTCTTTGATAGCCTGACTAAGCTGCTTCTTCCAACAAGTGAGTGTGATTTAAGGTAAACAAGGGCGGGTCACCGGTGAGTTAGTGGCATTCTTTGGCAGGAAGTGTCTGATAAGGAATTTAACTGCAGGTGCCTGACACTCAGGAAAACCTGTGCTTCTGCTTTAGGGATTTTGTAACGCCTAGGGCTTAAATAATGGGTTATCTGATGACCTAACACCATAAACCTGTCCAAATAATTTCATGTATGGAAGTTTGAGTCATTTTTCCCAGACTCAAGATGTAAACCTATGAGCCATACCTAAGTGAAGAATGCATTTGTGGAAAATGAGAATAACTTCAGGAAAACTTTTAAAACATGAGGGTGAATAGATGACTTAACTTCACTAGAATAAAGTCAAACCACACAAAAGTTCAAACACCCAGCTGCTGTCCAAAAAGCTTTACAGTTCCAGCCTTCATGATTTCTGCCCAGTCAAATTCCAATCTATTGTATCGAGCTACCATCTAATTTTTGAATAAGACCATTTCTTGGACTTTGTCATACCTGTTAAGAACTTTTCCATAAGTTCACTGTGAGTCATTTTCATGATGGTTCTACCTGAGTAAGTAGCCAAGGTGGGGTCAGCACCATAAGAGAGAAGTAGTCGGACAATTTCCAAGTGATCGTTCTCAACAGCATCGTGCAGAGGCCTAGGAAGAGAGGCGCAACAGAATTATGCTCGTGCAAGCCACACTTGCTCATAAAGCACTTATCTCCTTTAATAGCAACAGGAAGCTAGGTGCATGTGTACCTTGTGTACTGAGCCTCCTAAGCACAGTATTTAATCCAAGAGGTGTGCATAGTCACTGCCACTGCACAGATAGGGAAACTGAGCTACAGTGATTGGCTCTAGGTCATGAAGAGACTATTTCGGGCCTAAATCTCAGAGTGGTCTTGAACTCCTAGACTCAAGTGATCCTCCTGCCTCGAACTCCCAAAGTGCCAGGATTACAGGGAAGAGAGCCATTGCCCAGCTGCAAACCCTATCTTAATCCGAGGCCTAAGAAGGAACTCAAGCCGAAAGTACAAACATTTTCAACAAATTTAAGTAGTTATGGACCATGTGAAGGTAACTTACAGGGGATAAGAAATCCTATCTTCATGAAAGCCAATATAAGCAATTGTCACACTATTAAAAAAAAAAAAGGCACCTCTGTTTTTAAAAGAAACTAGATGCAAAGATTACTGGAGACTCTCCCGAAAGCTTGACCCCAGAACCTCACACAGATGGGTGATCAGCCTCTGGCCCAGAAACCAAGGGAACGGTGGGGAGAGGAAACAGGGCCTGGTGGGGTGTGTTCTCAGGAGGGTACAGAGGCCTCCAGTTCATGGAGCTGGGGGTTGGAGTTGGCAGGGAGAAGGTGGATCTCTGCCCAATCCGAGGGAATGCTATTTGCAAAGTGTGAAAGACCAAATACATTTCCATTTGGCCATTTCTGTCACTGTCAGGAAACCCCCAGTGCCCGGCCTCATGGCAGCATCCCCCTCACACAACCAGGAAGACGCTCGGGCTGACTTAGACCTGGGTCTCTGACCAATAAACCAGAGTCAAGGACAGGGTGAGGGCCACGGCTGGGCATGTGGGTGGCAATGGCAGGTCCTGGTGAACCAGTGGAGGGGCAGCTAGCCCTCGCGTACACCTGGGACTTTTAGCTCAAATATATTTGCACCACTGTGCTCAAGCCTGGGAAACAGGGCAAGACTCAAAAAAAAGCAACACCCCCAATTATTCATGCAGGCCTCAACATTTTCAGAAGCTTTGGTTCATAGGAATATTACAGGACTGACCAAAATTGGGAGCTTTACATCTACATTTGCCAAAGGTCTGCTGGATTCAATTCTGCAGGACCCAGTGGTCAGTATGTTTACAGTTACCCTCTGTCTTTTCTCCTGGAATTTCCCGCATACCCTGAGAACTGCCACTGCACAGATAGGGAAGCTTGGTGTCAGCAGAGCCAGGCTGAGAACAAGACTCATCACTGACCTGGTTCCATCCTGGGCGCTACAGTTGACATCAGCGCCATATTCAAGGAGGTGTCGCACAATGTTGAGCCAGCCCCTGGCACAAGCTTCATGCAGGGCGCAGTAACCTGCGTTATCCCGATGATTCACGTCACAAATCTTGTTCTCCAAGCAGTACAGGACCACTTCCTGTGGGGAGGGGAGGGAGGAACGCCATCAGATACTGCACAATAACCTTGGTAAGGTGGACCTCTCTGTAGCTTTCAAAGATACACCTTCAGGCCTGAGAATCCACTACCTCCTGGGCAGGCGGTGGATGTCTTGGTGAGGGGCAAACACATGTGCAAAGCATCCGATGACAGGGACAGCACCATTTAGGGGTCTGCTGCCCAGCTGCCCGGCCCTGGGCGAGGTATGCTTCAAATTCTCCAAAGCCTCCTTTCCTACTTTGGAGGAAAGCAACAGCACCTACAAGGGGCTGCTGAGAAGCTGTAGTTAGAGACCCACACAAGCCCTTAGCCCAGTGCCTGGCACAGTGAATACAGAGGGATTTGGCTGCTAATATTTCAAACGATGCATGAATAAGTACAAGGACATCCTCACTTGATCGGTTCATCCAACAGGTAGTAGTGGATGACGACACAAGTTTAGATGAAAGCAAGGACATATGTGCAAGAGTTGATGTGTAATAATAGAAAAAAAAAAAAAAAAAGCAAGGACAATCAAGGCATAACGAATGATTAAACGAGCTGGAGAACATTTCTCAACCTCACAGAGAGGAGGCTGCCCAGGAGTTTAGGCTGGTCCTCACACCCCTTGGAAAGACCAGGAATCGGAGGCTGGGTGGCAGTGCCTCTGTTGGTACCACATGCATCATCAACAAATGACATCAATACTTCTAATAACCCCGCCCTCTTTTTGCTTCACTCTCCACCCCACTTGTGGCTGAATCAATATAATTTCATATTTACTTAAGTTAATGACAGGAATCTAATACATCACATACCACAACCTACGCATTTCAGGAACTAAGTAAGATGAACCTACCCTTCCCACTTTGCAGAACGTGTTCCGCATCAACAGTTTGCATGAGAATCACTGTTATTAATCTCACTTCTATGGTGTGTTAAAATATTAAAATGAACCGCTCCCAGTAAGCAGAGCGGTAATTTACTCCATGTTTTATTACCTTGATTAAGAAAGTTTTCAAACACATGGAACACTATCTGCTACCAGACAACAGGTTACACTGTTTTCCTAGCAGTCAAGGCCAGCAGAGAGCTGTCAGGTTCTGAAGACTGGGGGGAAAGCCAGAACATGTAGGGTGGCCCAACAGACGGTCCACTTGGCAAGGGGGGAGCTTGATGGGCCACAGCAGGCTCTCCTGTTGCAACTCTTAAATAACTCATCTGTAACCTAAAATAGGCAACATTTGAGCCATCCATAAATGTGAGGTGAGTTCTGAAAATTATTTTATGCCCTTTCTAGGACACGTCAAAGGTGACCACTCACTTGGGCGTTAACTAGAATGTTCTAGATGCTCCCACTGTGAACCTAAGGCTGCATGCTGGTAACCCTGGCCACTCATTCCCTGTTGCTTCAGGCCACTGCAGCAGCTCCATGCCCACAGAAGTGTCTCTTGCTTCAGGCCCTTACCTGCCAGAAAGCCTACAATCCTCTGAGCTCCCAGGCCACCTGCCCCGAGCATTGGTATCCAGGATACCACATGAAGCTGCTGCTCTTTTAGCAGGCCCCCACTAGCCAGACTCGAGTAGACGGCTGTAAGCTAATGAGTTGTGTGCCCAGCCAGGGAGAGGCCCTGTCACGTGACTCAGGGATCAGCTCTGAGCGCCACTGACTGCTGTGCACAAATCAATTTACCCTGATCCTGGCGGCCAGCCTGGTGTCCTATCAACCCAGGGTTTATTTGCTCTGACAATTACGGCCGGCCTTCACCTGGAAACCTTAATCACCACTAGGGCTGATTTGAGGGAACCAAGGAATGAAAGATATCGAGGCTGAAGGGTAAGTCAGCTCTGTTATCCTGTAGGATGGCAGGCAAGGCAACAGTGATGCAACAACCAGGTCAGATGTTTTGCTGTTGACCACCATAACACTTCTGATGCTCCCAAATATGTATGTCATATCCCACAGTGACCTGTGAGATCTCAGGAAGGAAAAGTGGTATGATTCTCATTCAACACTCAAGGAAATTGAGACTCAGAGAGGCTAAGCCCCAAATTCAATTAACACGAAGCATTAGACCTGTAACTCAGGTCATTTGGCAACGGGTCTGCTGGGAAGTTTCCAAAGGCCCAATCAAGGGCCCTGGCTAAAGGGCTATGATCCAGCCATGACCAACATCACTTGCACCTTTTCTGTTGGGGTCAAGCAGGCTAATGACACTCTCCTAGCTGGGAGGGTGATGGCATTTTAAATAGGTGGCAACTTTCATCACACCAACAGAGAGAATGAAGAAGCTGGACACGTCTGTCTACCCAAGACGTTACTTGGTTTATTCTCCATGCTGGAAATGGGAGTGTTTGAAGGGCAGCCCGCCCATTCCCAAACAAAATCAAACTGTTTTTGTTGGACAATTCTCTGTTAAGCAGCTATAAGCTGAATGCCATTAACCGCAAAATGTAACCATAAAGGCCATAAACCCGACATTGTTAATTAATTAAATGCCTCATTAACTTTTTTAAAAACATGATTTATTCGATTCATAGAAAATTTAACCATCACCACTAAATGCACAAGCATGCGGTTCCACATTGGCATTTTAGCATAAGAACTGACAGGGAAAGGTTCAAGTGTAACTGGCCTTTCAGGTGGTCTATTACAGATCTGAAGAGCAGAGGGTGTTTCTAAACCTCAAGAACCAGATTAACAGAAAACAAAGCTTGAGCAGCCTTTATATTGCATGTGGTATCTTTTTAGCTAAGCAGAAGACAATGATAAAGAGGGGTTTTGGGAAACCCTTCCCAAAGCTGTGCATTCATACCGCACCTTAACCCGTTAAGCAAATTGTTCTTTTATTTTATAGAGTTTACACTGCCACATCTAAATGGACTATCCTCCTGACATTTTAATTTCTGACTAAAGAAGTCTCAGAATGTTGGATTCAAAGTTGAAAGCTTTCATCTAGTAATTAAAACATTCAGCATCAAAACTGATGACCTGGGAAAGTTCTATAGTGAAATTTACATTTGAAGGGGAAAAGTCCTTCCATAAACATTCTCAAGGCTTCTTTCCCCAAAGGCCTGGCAGCCTGAAAAAGTATGGATCAGTGTTCTTTAGTATAGGCCTCAGACCCATCTGCTTACAGGAAAACCACCAAAATGGAAACTGTTCCTTAGAGCACCCACAAGGCCTCTTGAAGTCAGAAAGGTGAGACTGGGATAAAGGAAGCCAAGATCAAAGACCAGGCCAGGAGCCCCACCCCGCCATGGCCAGCGTGTTTGCTGCCCTGGAGCTGTCCCTTACCTCTGTGTTTGCTGGAAGCACAAGTCCATTTCCTCAACCACACCTAGGAGTGAGTGGCCCTGCCTGGCACACTGCATCTACCCTGTCCTCATAGGCTCAGCTTATGAAAAACCAACTGGCTGCCGCTTGGGTTTAATCTTTGAGTAACTGAGCTAATTTCCAAATCCTTCTAGAGAGTTCCCTCAAAGATAATCCAGAGATATCAACCACACAATCATGCCCCAGGGTGGGCTCTGGGTCCAGGGGAGACTGTCAGCCAGGTCATCCCATCAGAAAAGGCTCAAGGCACAGCAGACTGCGGCAGGGTTAATGTATGCGAGCCTGGGCTCTGGCTGAATTCGGAGGCCCATAGCTGAGCGTGGGCTAGTGCGGATCCTGTCGCCCGGGTGCTTCTCCACACTTCACATTCAGCCTGCTGAGCTGCATTTTATTTTCACCACGACTCCCAGAGAGCTGATGCCAGCATAAAAAATGCCTTTGCCCTGTGGGCTATTACATCACAATCTCAACTGACAAGTGTGTGGTGGGGAGATGCACAGGGGCAGAGGGAGGTTTCGAACTGTGAAAAGTGCAATTCCAATGGGAGCTCGTCCTGGAGAGGAGCTGGGTTTGCGGGGATGGGGAAAGACTGGGCTTTGGAGCCAGGCTGCTGGATTATTATCTGTTTAAGTCATTTAACGCCTCTGGGACTCAGTTTCCTCATCTGAAAGCATGAATAATATGAGTTACAATCGCACAAAGATGATGAAAGGGTGAAATTAGTTACTTTGGATCTTAGGGGCTCATCAATGTAAGCTATCATTGTCATGGCCCGTGCTGGGAGGAGGATGGGCAGGGGGGCTAGGGAGAAGCAGTGAGTTGAAGGAAAAGCCATGAGTCTCAGTTCCTCCTCCAAAGCCCTTAGCCCTGGGGCTACTGTACCCTCTCTCAGAAAGAGACCTTAGGTCCACCCCACCTCCCACCTCTGTGACCTGCACAGCTTCTTCCTGCCCACTACCCCCACATGGCTACCCCTCCACCAGAAACAGTACAGGCAGCCCCAGATAGAGCTAATAACTTCTCTCCCCCTTGCTAATCAGAATCCAAAGGGCTCATTAAAATTCCCCCAGTCGCCAAGCCCTGGGTTGTGTCAGATTTTATATCAGAGATAAGTGAGCGAGACTGGAGGGTGCCGAAGCAGCCTACCTGCCTGAACACGAACTGAACATCAGAGAGGCCTTTCTTTCCACATCGCAATTGAACAAGCCACCAAAGAGACAGCAGAGAGAGTGGGGCTAACACAAACATCCTGCTGGAGCACTGGCCCAGCCCCTTGATGTGGAGAGGGCTGCGCTCTGCTCTGCTCTGTTCTCCAAGTCCCTCCCTTCACCAGCGGCAGCCCTTGGGCCCCGCCCCCCAGCCAGCAACCCTGGGGAGCACCCACAGGGACCCACCTCATAGCCAAGCCTGGCTGCCCGCTGCAGAAGGGTCTCGCCTGCGTTCTTATTGACAATAAGTCTCCGTGCTTCTGGTGGCATTGGGCGAGACTGGATGGTCTCCTGAGGGGAACTTGAGCATGGCAGCTGCGTGGACTGGGAGGCCGGTAGCAGTTGCTGCAAGCGGTCGAAGGGCTTTGGCTCCTGCTTGGCTGGTGACAGATCGTAGTCTGAACTGGGCTCCGGCCGCTTTCTGAATCTCCGGACAGTCACCTATCATAAAACCAGGCAGCGCACACAGTTAAGCCTGTGTCCTTCTAACAGTGGCTGCTTCCCCTCCTCTTCCCCACATGACAAACCTGCGTGGAGAGACACCTTCTTTCCTTGTCTTTTTTTGGGGGTAGGGGTACTTGTCAAAGGAGGGTTTGGGGTAAGGAGTTTCATTCTTACTAGTTTGAAACTTCGAGGCCGCCCAGAAGACATGCTCCTCTAGGACAGGGGAGTGAAGTATGGTGTGGGGGAGGAGTCCCGGAAAAGGAAAGCTTTGCCCCACAAGCTGGGAAGCTGGCAGGCAGGCAGGGATGTGCTCCCACAGGCCCTAGGGGGAAGCGGGGGTCAAGAGGTACCTTGCCATCGGCATTCTCCACGTAGTATTCCCCTGTCAGTGACAATCCCCGCCTGGGCTCCTGAGGGATCAAGTGTTTGGTTTTGCACAGTCTCTTCCCGGATGGCTTCTCACTGTTGTCGGTGTATTTCTGCAGCAGGGAGGCAGCCTGGCAATCCTCTTCTTCATCTGCACACAGCACATCTGTCTTCTGGTTTTCTTTAATTTTCTGCTGTTTGGCAGGCGGCCTGGAGGCTGGTGCGCAGCTTGGCTGAGCCTGCTTTTTGCCGCCTGCACTGGTGGTGGATGAAAGACTCTTCATGGGCGGAGAGCCGGAGAACATAGGCAAGCCTAAATACGGAGGGGGTGACGGGGTGGCGGGCGGGCGGGAGACAGGAGAAGAAGCAGGCGTTACACAGTTGTAGCCAGTGCAGGAAGAAAAGCCCATTGTTAACACTGATCACTGGAGCGGCTTCGGTTTTTAAAGATCTACCAATTATGTTTTCAAAGCATTAATATTTTAATTATACCACATTCAAACGGCACCTAGGTTAACCCACAAAACACCAAGTGGCAATTTGCTTCAAAGGGCCCAGCAGAGAGGACAGAAGCTGGCTCTTCCTGCTCTCCTGACCCCTCCCACCCACTGGGTCTGGGTGCTCAGGACCCAGAGACTGGAGACAGCCTGAGGCTGGAATGAGGGTGCTGGCAACGCCCTGGGCCACCCCAACTGACTTCCTGTCCAGCCACAGGCAAGGACATCAAGAGAGAACTCCCTGCCTGCCACATCCTCCTTCAAGTCCACTTCTATGGCCTTCTAAGGTCTCCTCAAAAGCCCTTTCCTACAGAGAGTAGATGACCCACCCTTCAGGAGAGGGGTGGCACTCAAGGGGTAGACCCCGCATACCTTGCTCATTGTCACTGGGTTTGAGAGACTCTTCCGACCAGCTTCTGTTGCCTTTGGTCTCTGCCCTTTTTCTGCCAGGTTTCTCTTCGGTGATGTTAGTCCCCTGAGGAATGGCCTCAGGCTGAGTGGCCTGGGTCACTTCCTTCCTGCTTTGCAAATTAGGTTTGCTCTCTGCTGCCAACACCTCCTGCTCCCACTGTTTTGTAAACAACATCAAGCGACGTTTCTTAGGATGAAGCCCTGTAAATGTAATATAAACTTTCAAACTGGTCATCTCACTATAATGTGGGTCTTCTAAGTGCTTAGAGGAATTTGTCACTTCCCTCTAGGGCCAGTTATCTAATGTATAAATAGATAACTAGTTACTTTATCTGCTTTTGGGATAACCTAATTGTTTTTGACAATCTCTGGTCTTGAGTGCCTGAATCTGGCTGTGAAGCAGGAAAGTTATGAATGGAGTTTGTGGGGCTCCAGGGTGGGAATCTCCTAGAAGAGTAGGAATAAAAGCTCCACTGCTGTGTGTCATGACTTCCCTTCACTGATTCTATGGGGGCTGCATGCCACACATCCATATACCATGTCTATCCACTGTGGCTATATGAAGCCTACTGAGCAGGCAGCTAATAGTGACCAAACTCACCTACAGAAAGCTGTTTTTGCATTGTTTTCAGGAGAGGGTCCTCTGGCAGTTTCTCTGTAGTAGTCTCAGTGTGGCTGCTGTCACCTGAGACTTTGCGTTTCCTGTCCACCCGGAGGGTGGGGCTGGGCGGCATGTCCGAGGCCACTTGGGCTGCGGGCGGCTCGCTCACAGGCTGCCTCTCCACAAAGTACTTCTCCACAGGAAGGTCTTTGTCCTCGGGGGCTTCAAAGGGATCGTGGTGCTTGTTTCCAGCACTATACTCGCCTGGGGGAGGGAGACAAGAGGACATGAATGAAGCCCGAAGGTCATCTGCTACTGACAGCTGCTTCTGTGGACACTGGGGTCCTCACATGGTAGGACAAAACCCTCAGAAACAGAACTTTTCAGGGGAAGGGTACATTGAAGACGAGCAACGGGTAGAGCAGAGTGCGGTGCGCGCCACGCTCCTTCCCCTTCTCCTTCTTATGGTTGGGGCCAAAGGGAACCAAGAAAGATGGGGTCTACGTTTTTTAAAGCACTATAGTCCTTTTTTTCAGCAGAAGATGTAACCATGCCAGGGCTGACCTGAAAATCTTTATGGAAACAGTTGCTGAGGTCATTATTTTGAAATAAATGGCAGGCTGATGGGATAAAGCGACCAAATATCCCCAAAATGTCATCTAGTGAAGGGATAACACCAATATTCACCTAGGCCAACTGGGGAAATGATGAAGAGGAACAGGAGACAAGAGAGCTGAAAGAAAGCCCAGGTCCTTGGTGGGCAGAAGTGACCCTCCCTCCTGGAAGGCTCTGGGCCTGCAGTCCAGGTCAGAAGGAGGCATGGAACCCAGGCAGACCCAGGCTGCTGGGAAGAGAGGCCTGGCAAAGCCAAAGGCACGGTTTCCTAACACATATACAAGTTCAGAGAAAACTTCACAGAACTCGATCTGCTGGATGCACAGATGTTAAACCAATGGGTTGGGTTGTTCCCATTTCCTGTCCAACACAGGGGGACCCCCATGGGGATGCTGGTCACCCAGCTGACATTCCTCTTCACACCCTCTGTCACATGCAGGCATCTACAGACATCCCCTTATTGTTGGTGTGTCTTCCCCATGCCAGGCCAGCGCTTGCAAAACCGCTGGTCCGAGGACCCCTGTCCTCAGTCTATCACAGGCTGTGGGGCTTTTTCTCTGTCATCTCAGCACAACATCACCTCCTCCTTTTGCTCTAGCCCAAGAAATAGCAATTTTTCTAATACACAATGAATATAAATGATAACTACTTAATGACCACAGCGAGGTTAAGGTGTTCGCCCTTGGCCGGCTGAAATGATCCTGCTCATCATCAGGGTTATGAGTCTGGTGTCTTGGTAACTCTGAGCAGAGGCACGCAAGTCAGTTTCTAGATGAAATAAGCACACACCTCATCCGCTGATCTCATTCTTCCTCTCCCCAACCCACTTCAAATACTACTCCCACTCCTGACCACCCCCCTCACCCACTTCTCTTGGGGGCATTCCCAGTGGTTCATGGCAGTCAGCTGTGGGGTTAAGCTTTACCGGGGCATTGGCTAGCTTGTACTGTCAATGGTGCAAGGACCCATTCACCTCCTCTTCAACGGTGCTTTAAGGGGGAACAGATGGGGCTGCATCTACTCTTGGAAAGGAATGGTAGAATCTCCCCAACCGTTCCTCCTCATCCTCACTCACAATGGTGCACTGTACAGATAGGGATGGCTGGGCCTGGGACTTGGCACCCAAACCCCCACCATGGAATACAGCCCCAGGTCTCTATAGGTACACCGGCACTGGGTGGGCACCCAAAAACATGGCCAAGGTGGTGTTCTGTCACGGCAGCAGCAAGAGAAAACACACAAGCTGCCCAAGCCTTCCACTAAGCAGGCATGGTGACCACCATGCTCAGCTTGGCCTGGGGATGCAAAAAGGGTGGGCTGCGCTGTGACCCTCTTAACCCCTCTGGCAGTAACAGCACCACTTTACAGTTTGGCCCCCTTCACTTGTAAAGTGGGACTTTTACTGCAAGCCACCTCCCCTGGTGGGCTTCAAAAACACGGCATAGCAGGAGAAAGGCTGGAGAAATTACTTACAAAAGGACACTAAGGTGCAAAGTAAAAATGTAGACTGTGGAGAGATGGTTCGAGCCAAGTGGTTTGAAAGCAGAGGTGACTGGGTTATGTCACTATACCCTCCTGGGTCATAATGAGGCAGCAGCTTATCAAGTATGGGGCCCCACCCAGAATGAACTGCCCTGTCCTGACACCCTTCCCAGACACACCCCCCATTAAAACCGCATCAGATTAAGAATCTCTCGGCTGGGCACAGTGGCTCAAACTTGTAATCCCAGCACTTTGGGAGGCTAAGGTGAGTGGATCACGAGGTCAGGAGTTTGAGATCAGCCTGACCAACATGGTAAAACCCCATCTCTACTAAAAATACAAAACTTAGCTGGGCATGGTGGCACATGCCTGTAGTCCAAGCTACTCAGGAGGCTGAGGCAGTAGAATCGCTTGGACCCGGCAGGCGGATGCTGCAGTGAGCCACAATCATGCCACTTCACTCCAGCCTGGGTGACAGAGTGAGACCCCCATCTCAAAAAATAAAAATAAAAAAGGAATCTCTCAACCCTAGTATTTTGGATTTGACTTCCACAGCTTCCATTTGAACTCCAGGTCTCACACAGCCACCTGTATTTGTAGTAATCTCAACCGAGTCTAAGGCATCTTTCTCAGGGAGAAAGTTTTCCATTGAAGTTTTGCCCTTCACTGCTAACTTCCTAACAGTGAAATGAATTTACATCTCACGTACCTGGCCTTATGCCTAAACTGCCAGTATCTTTTGTCCATAGAAAGCCACCTAGAAGACATGTGATCACTTATTTTACAGGCTGGCATCAACAGGCAGTGACTGACTTGGGACTTAGTCTCTCTGCTAGGGAGCACCCCCATTAGACATGGGGAGGTCTTGCCATCTGTCTCCTCTGGGGCTTCCCATCTGGGAAAAGCTGCCCAGTGGGGGTGGGGAGGGCTGCCCTGAACATACCACCTTCTGCTTCCCGTTCATGGGGAGGCCAGCGGACTAGGACAAGGGGCGTGAAACACACACGCCTCCTCTAAGTCCCCACCATTCCCCATTCAGACGGAAAGGGACCCCTTCTGCCCCCTCAATAGTCCAGAACTATTATCAGGAACGCTCCATTGCTACATCTGGGGTTCACTGAAATCATGCCTGCTCACACACAGTGTAGATGCTTTCTTGCCCATTCTCAAGAGGATCTTTTCGCAAACGAGGCCCATCCTGCTTCATCCAGCCCCTGAGCCTCTCAAGGCAAACATCTGAATTACCCTCAGTGAAGGTTCCCCCCGCAACCTTATGCTATGGTTTCCCTCCATGGGTCAGTAATAATTCCGAAGAACACCCACACTGACTGCCTTGGCAACCAGCTATGGCAGAGAGGTTCCATGTCATTTCCTGTACACTGCACTTGGACCTCCCTCAAATGGGGCTGTTCTTACCAGTACCCACAGAAATTACCCTTGAGGGCAAAGGAGACAGGTGGAAAGACAGATATAGAGAGATAGATAGGAGTCTCCTAACCATTAGGCTTCTCCTCCATAGCAGCTACTTCTGACCCTTCTATAAGTGGAATGCCATGTGTTGGTCATAAGATCCAGGCTGATGTGAATATGAACATGGTTGAGCCCTACACCATCTACCACTTGCTCCCTACATCGTGGTCTTATAACGCACACCACATACATCCCATAATTTACGATGGTTATGCCATCACAACACCTCATAGAAGCATTGCCATGGCAACATTTACAAGTCACCATGGCAACAAAGCAACTTCACCAGTTATAACCATTGCCCAGTAAGCCCTAAACAAGATGGGAGAGGACTGAAATTTTTGAGGACTGCCCATGACATCCACTGCCTCTGCAGGCAACATCACCTCCAGCAGAGGCTAACCATGTTATAACTTCTACACTCTCCAGCAGAGGCAGTGGTAGCCATCTGTCTGTCCAAACTCAGAGTAGTTTACAAAGCACGTAGTCCTAGAAGAGAAGTTTTCTGAGCCAAGAAGCCCCATGAAACCCTTTCACTTTCACTCACGCTTTCTCCAGCTCCTGCTCAGGCAATGCCACTGAGTGAGTCCTAGGTCCACATAAGCCAAGTGGCTGCCAAGGGAGACAGACATTCACATTCAAGAAAGAAGGGCAAATATGAACATCTAATATGTATCCACAGAAGTAAATCAATCGACAGAATCAAACTAAAAACAAAACAAACAAGAAGGAAGAGCTCAATGCCTCTGTGTTCCCTATCCTGTTTTCAAAATGCCACTGATCATTCCTATTAATAAACTTTCAAGCTTGGGGATGCTCCTACGTCATTTGTTCAATTTCTAAATGAAAAACTCAGCCACCCATACTATCACCAAGAGTCAATGAAAATCCTAAGCATGGTGTTTTCCAGTTAACTCCATTTTCTTAAACAAGCCCTCCCAACAAGATGCACCTATACGCAGGCGGCTGAAGTGACACAAGCAGCACCTGCCATCTCAGAAGCTACTGGTGCTGCAGGAGTGGAGGGGAGAGGCTTTGGGGAGGCATCTTCTACCCTCTTTGTGACCCCTGCCTGCCCCAAATTCCCACCCCAGTTTCCACAAGCTCACAGCTTGGCTCTGGGACACAGTGACATCCATGAGCAATGTGATGGCCGAGACAGCCCATTGAATTTGCAGCCGAATGGATCCAGCGCCTGTTGTCCCCTGGATGGGATGGCAGTGGCAACAGCAAGGACAATGGTTTCTCTAGGGTCCTCCTCTTGATCAACCACAGACCAGTGGTGCCCCAGCTCTTCTGTGGCCCTCACCTTTCCCCAACCCTTCTTCCGCTCTCCCTGCCATAGCTCATTACCTGAGGAGCACTACGTAGTGACTTACGGCTCGCGGGGCCCTGTCCTGGGTGCTCCAAGAACACAGCCTGTTGGTATGAAGCTTGGAGGGACTTGCAGAAGGGGAAAGGGAGGCCTTTCTGAATCATCTGGGGCTTGGGCTCTGCTCCCACTGGCCACACTGAGTTACTGAGATGTGACTGGAGAGTCTGGTCATGTTACTCAAAAAACAGAGCAACGGCAAGAAGACTGGAAGCTTGGCTAAGTTCCTGTCCCTTCCTCCAGGCCCCCAGCCATATACTCAGAACAAAGAGGGATTCTCATGCATGGCACTCTCCCTCTTAGAAGGGCCTTCCCCCCTCAACTCGGCCTTGCCCACTTCTCCCAGGTCCCTCTGACAACCTTCCCAAGAGCTGGTGTTTCGAGGCAACTCAGAAGGGAGGCAGTGAGTTGGCAGCTATCGTCAGGGAGGAGGAAGGCTTCTTTGCCACTTCACCCAAGAGTGGCCTGGACCTCCCGCTGCCGTATAGCCACGTTTTGATGAAGAGTGAGCAACTTCAGGTGCATTGAGTCCCTGCTACTTGGGTAAGGCCACTACTTACTAGCAACAGAAACTGTCTTCTTCAGCAATGACTTACAACAAATCAGTCCTGGTTTAGCTTACCCAGGAGCCTGGCGGGTGGCCTTAGTCTGCCCGCAGGGATGAGCTGCGAGTGGAAGGAGGGGTGTGTGCTCCAGGTAGCAAGAAGCACACTCTCCCTGATCTCAAATTCTTCCCAAACTCTGCCAGGCACCGGTGAGCTGTGTTGCGAACGTCAAACCTCCGACGGCCCACAGTGGTGAGCTCTCAAACACACCCAACATCTCCAAGTGTCCACCCTAATTCCCCTTCGCCTAATGAGGTTTCTCATGTCACAAGCAGACCTAAAGCTTCAAGCTTGCACATTTAAGAAATAAACAGAAAAGCCTTCTCCACTTGCTGCTAACACGTCTTGGCACTCTGGAAGACTCATGGGCAAATCCCAAAGCCAAGCCTGTTGGTAGGATGGGGGGCCTGCTGTAAGGACCCAAGAGAGTGTCCTGAGGAAGATGCCAGCTTTCTCATCACACTATTTCCCCTCCAAAATGTAAGATGCCCTCTGTCCAGTGGGAAAAGCCCCCTCAGGCATTCCAGGCTGTCTCAGATTCTGAGGCCAATTCTCCCCCACCCCCCACGGTAAATCATCACACTGGTCTTTACGGTGCCTTCACCACATTCATCCTACTTCCACAACATCTACACCTTTGGAGGGAGAATGTAAGGACTCTCCATTCCACATCAGACTCACCACGGGGGTGGGACAGGAGACGGCTGGGAAGTGTTATTCCACTGCCACAAAATACAACTTGTCCCTACACCAAATTTCCTACTGCCATACTTCTGCTACATTGTATTATATTAGAGTGTTATCAACTCTAGCACCAGTGCTTCTTTGGAAAAAAAGATGTGTCCCGGGAAACGATCTTTCACAGACGCCTCGTTCCTGGTTGCCACCATTTAAAAGGACAATCGGCCCGGCATGCCATGCATGGCAAAAGCAGCCCATTTCTCAGCGCAGATGCCAGCTGGACCTGAGGCCACCACAAGCAGGTTTACTTACATCTCTCACTTTCGTTCTGGTCGGCAATGGCCTCCTCCAGGGCGACCGACTTTGGCTTTTTGTCCTGATTTCCTTTCAACCTTTCCCAGTCGGCTGGGCTGAATTTGCACACCTCGGAGTCTTTGGTTGCTGGGTGGCCACCTTCTCTTTCTTTCATCTCCAACTCTGAGAAGCGCATCATTGCACGCTAGAAAGAGAATGGAGATGGAAAAAAAACACAATGCCTTACCATAAAAGCTATTTCATTTGCCTTACCTTAAAGGAAAGTATTTTCAAAGAAAAGTGTGCCCAAAACCAACCACAATTTATGAGATGTAACTCAGATATTTTAAAGTGTAACAGATAAAATTTAAGAGTATCTATATGTAAGTAGTCACACATTCTTTATTCATAAAGTCATATGTATATAGATATATATGCGGTGTGTATGTATATCCACACATACACTAGTGCATAGAGAAAGACATTCTCTTTTGAAGGTAAATAAAACAAAACGAAAACACAACGCAAAGAAAACAAAACAAAAACACAACAGGAAAGAAACAAAATGCACAATGAGTAAAGACGACCATGGCCCACAAACTTCCCTTGGTATATTTGGAAATGAAATTTAACTCAAAAGGTTTATGTAAGATTCTAGTAATAAAAATTTGAAGAACTGACCTCACAGTAAGCAGCGGGTAGACATAAAATACTGTCCTCTTGTAATCCTTCCATCTATGTAATTAAAATGGGCACTCAATGGATCATTTAGATAACTTCATCCATTTTTATAAGCATAAACCAATTTTTTTCTTAACATTGCAAAACAATTTGGCTTTATTCATCTTTTAATTAAAAGTAAAATATCTTAAGGAAATTCCTATACAACATCTATCATAATTCACTAGCAAGTTAAATACATACTCTATCCCTTTAAGCAAACTTTTTCCTTTTTTTTCCTTTCTTTTTGGTGAAAAATTTGCATGAATCCCACAGACATGCGGCTGCTACACATCTCCACCAAGTATCAAGTAAGGCATTCTAAGCAGCACTTCTAGGTATATTTGTTATCTTACAGGCAGAGAAATCAAAGCAATTGATAGGTAAACGTCATGCAGTCTTTAGATACCCTTCACAATAATTAAAATGTCTGTTATCAGTCCTCGAGTGGAGTTCCCTTATAATCTACAGAATAACTTAAAGCATCCAGACACTCCTCAGTGCTACCACTCACGTTCTCTTCCTGGCCACATTGCATACATTCAAATTACCACAAGCCTCATTCACCAAATCTGCCTGGTGCCCTGCCCTACCATACTCCCCCAATCCTCTTTACACATTAAAAAACTGACAACCAGTAAGGTTACTGAAATTCAGGTAAAGGGGCTCACCTGCAATGCCCGTTGCTCCCGGCTGAGCTGACTGGAATCTGCATACAGTTCGGTAGTGACACATTTGAATCGATCACCCACGTAACCCGCCGAGTTGGCGATTCTCTTTGCCAGCTTAGATGGCTTCGGTTTCAGAACTTTGCCATCGTTTGATTCGGCCTCATCGGCTCCATCTTTGGTATAGGTGGGGGTCACGTCCACACTTGGTGGGGCACCACTCACACAAAATGGTTTGGGATCCTCTTGGGTTTTACCAAAAGTTATAGCAGGACCATCGCTTCCCAGAGTGGTCTCCAGGAATGGAGCTGAGACTGGCATCCCTAGGTTCTCTTTGTTGGTACCTGCCGGAACACTGTCCTTGCTTACGCTGAAGACTGGCTGGCCTGGAGCCTGTTTGAAAGAATAAGTTTCGTGGAAGTCACTAATGCGCCCCAACTCCTCTCTCAGGGCGATGAAATCGCGGTGCTGCTGCAGGGCCGGCTCGGCTGATGGCTTGGCGGGCTCGGCACTCTGGCCAACGCTCTCTGCTGCGAAGCTGGGTTTGGACACGTTTGTGTCAGTTTTACCATCTGGTTCTTCTCGGAGAAGGTCTACGTAGACAAGCTTGTCGCTTTTGACAACAGTCTTCCCTTGATTCCAGTTGGGGTTCGGCTTTAGGTTCTTGTCGGTGGGGACTTCTGGATGTAATTTGGTGCCACTAGTTTCCAAAATCTCAGAAAACCGATTCCGGAGGGTTGGGTCCTCATAGCGGGCTCTCTCGTGGGACCGGGACCTCCTCTCTGGTTTCTCCTCTTTAGCAATCTCTATGGGCGTGTGTGGTATCAACATGGGATGCACCATGCCCAACCCTAGGGCATCTTGGTAGGTCACAAACTCTGGACGGCCAGTGGGCAGCCCATAGGGCAGTCCAGGCTTTGGGGCAAGGTGCCCAGGAAACAGACTGCCATTGGGTAACAAAACTGGGTGAGGGTAGACAGGTCCTTTGCCATGTAGGGAGAGGGGACTTATAGCAATGCCCTCAGGGGCTGGGTAAGGGAGGTAACTCCTGGGGTAGGGAATTGGTGGGGACCTGAATGCCTCATTTGGAGACAGAAATATAGAGCTTGGTGGGAGGCCGTTCTCATTTGCTTTGAAACTCGGTTCTGGGTTGCTGGCTTTGGTGCCCTTGCTGCTGGTGCTGCCACTGTGCTTGGCAGGAGTGGTCGGGGGCTGGCCCACGTGCTGAATAACGGATGGTGTGGTGTCTACGGAGCTCCTGCTGGTTTTGGTGCCATCTGCATTGGCATTGGGGGCTGGTGATGCGGAGGCTGGGCGGCCTGCGCTTGACACAGACCCTGAAACATTAGTGATGACAGCATCGGTGCCGCCCATGCGGGGACATGATGAACTCCGCTGCTGTGGTATCGCCCAGTCCAACGCCTTGTTTTTCAGAGACATGCTTTTGCCATTGTTCTCTTCATTAGGACTTGGCCCAGGCACCACCCAGGAGGAGGGAGCAGTGCTGATGATTTCAGATCTATAGATAGCACATCCATTTCCTGGAGGAGATAGTGTTTCTTTCGGAAGCTCACTTCCGGAGAGCACTAAGCCACTTCCAGCCCTGCTGTGAACAAGGACCGTAGGAGCCATCTTTTTCATGTGGTCAGCTTTGGAAGCATCTACATCCACCACTTTAGAAGACAAGTCTAGTGGCTTATCTGTGACGTCTTTGGTAACGGTCTGCTTCTCCAACAGAGGAGGTGAGCTGCCGTCTTTTCTGTCTTGAACCGCTGTCTTCCGGGAATGCCCGGGCACTGGCTGGGCACCTTCGCCCCCTTCTGGAGCCTTGGGATACTTGCCGTTGGAGAGCCTGGCCGCGGGGAACTCGCTGCTGACTGTCATGTATGGCTTTGACAGGGCAACTGAAGGAGAGGTGGAGATCCTGGCATAGTGCTTGTGGAACTCCGAGTAGGTGTCTGCAGCAGGCTGGGTGGGAAGGTGGACCCGGGGTGAGGGCCGAGGCGAGGGCGGCAACAGGAGAGCCGTGTCCCCTGGCAGGCCACTGGTGACTGCCTTGGCAGAGGGAACCCTGGGCTGTTTACTGTTCTGGATGTGAGGATAGGCATGGGAATCAACAGGATTCCCAGGGCTGACCCCCATCTTCCATGGGAGGCCTTTGTCTGCGCAATGGACAAGAGGTGGGATGGCTGGGGAGGCCGAAGGCGTCGAGAGCCTCATGGGGGATGCCAAGGACGATGGGATGTGAGGACTGACGTAGTGAGGTGGTGGCAGGTAGAGAAAGCGCTCCCCATTGGTGCAGACTGGAGAATACAGCGGCTGGGCCAAGCTGTAGGACTGCTGAGGTAGCAAGGCCTTGTACATGTTCAGTGAATACTTATTTGGCGAATCAAGGAAAGGGTAGATGGCTGGCGTGGCACCCTCCATGTAAGGATTGACCCAGGGCAGCCGCAGATAACTAGCACCATTGATGTTGAGAGGGCTCTGTTTGTCGCTGGCAGACCTGTCCAAGCCCAGTGTTTCTGCTGTGGCTACAGCACTTTTTTGTATTCCAGGCGGTGTTTTGTATATAGCACTGAAGCCATTTGGGGGTTTTCCAGGGACAGCGGAAGCCTCCACTGTCTCGGGTGTATTCGGTTTGAACTGCATCTCTGGATTTCTTTCCGAAGAAAACCCAAGGCCACCTAGAGTGCTTGTGGCAGTCTCCCGACCCTTCTCAGAGCCCAGTCCACACAAGCTAGAATAGACGATGTTTCCGGGGACCCGGAGCCCTTCCCGGATTAGGCCAGTGCGGTCCATGCTCAGTGCTGCCAGGCCATCGATCCTATGGGCTGTGCTCGCATCCACCTTTGCAGAAGAACAACACGGTTGTTACTTGGGCACTCCTTCAAAGCAGCAGCACCCGCCCGGGAGACGCTGCCAACTAGCTCAGCATGACCTTACTCTTAACATTCAAGCAGAAAGGGTTAAAGACAGGCTTCGGGGGGTGTTTCCCCTTCCCCTTACCAAACCCCTCTGCTGCCTGCCTCCTCACCTCTCAAGTAGTAACCTGGAAGCAGGGAAGACGTTGGTCCCTTTGGCCTGGAGACCCATACATTAATTCAGTCATCTATTAACTAAAGATTTTTACCTTCTCAGCTAAAATTCTTTGCTACAACTGAGAAGACACCAACTTCAAAACTCTGAGCATCACCCTCGTGGGGTGCAGAACTCACACTAGCCCTCTCTGGCCTGTCAGGCTTGGGGGTGGCGGTTTGCCTCATTTCCCCTGGGTGCGAGAAGGCATGACTGAACAGAACATGAAACAATCTTCGGTGGGACAACAGGAACAGAGGACTTGAGCAGCCTCATTTCTAAATCAATAAAAAGGCCATGGGTCAAACTGTGGTTGTGTCTTTTGACTTCCTCTCCCTTGTGTCTGAAGTGACAGTCCTGTGTTTTGTATTTTACTGGAAAGGTAAACCCTAAGGGGCTACTTGGAGGCTGGAAATTTATCCAGTTGGGAGCACTGATGTGGCATGCAGCTTGTAGAAGAAAAGACAGTACACATCCCACCAGTCACTAGGGGACAGGGACATGTGTGGCAAGGAAGGAAGGCAAGACAGGAAGAGCTTGGGTGGGAGCCTTGTCCTGTCATACAGGCCTCAGACTCAGCCCCACTCTGAACCGCTACCTCCACCCACCCCCCACCCTCTAATGGCATGCAAATAAATACAATTGATTACAGATCACTGATATGCAGATATTACATCAACAGAAGCCATTAATCTCTTACCACGTTGTGGTTCAAGGGATTCTCTTCCCTCAGTTCCAGTCTGGCTTTTGAAGCGTCACCATCATTTACAAGGATTTTCCTATTTAAAAGGACATACCAACTTTATGAAAGCATTCCTCACTGAATCCATCTTTCATGTATCTCCCCGGAAGAGACCCATCTCTACTAACCCGATTTTGAGAACGGTCCTCAACCCTCCGCCCCCACCCGCTGCCAATGGCCCAGATTGAAAGTTGCTCCCAAATGGTGAATCAACTTGACCAGGAAAAACAAAGGAAATGCAAAGCCCTTCATGTGTGAGGACATGAATCACAAATGCAATGTCCCCAAGGTAGGTAAGCCAGAAATCAAGCACAACCACTTCTCCCTCGAGATCTTTTTCTCTAGAGGCCAAGTAGGCCAATCTGAGCTCCGCTGTCCCAGCCAACCCTTATAAACTCTCCTGGAGGGTAGACATGAAGTGGTAACATGGCCAAATACCAAAGGGGGCGGGAAGGCTAGAGTCTACGGGCTGGCCGCCTCATCAACCACTTCCGTGTTACCCAGGAGGGCAGGCTTTCAAAACTTTTCTCAAAACAAAGTTAGGGACCATGTCCTACGAAACTGGTTTCCATGGTGATAAAAAAGCCATATTTGACTGCCTTTGTCAAAATGACAGGGGGATACACACTAGTATCATACAAATGTCAGCTGTTCCAGGCTGAAGAGGAAGCTGCACGTCTGTGCCAGGCTGCTGCGGCTGCCCTGGGACTTGTTATCAGAGAGCATCGATAAAGAAAGTGCTTGGTGCCAACTTCCAAATCCCCAGGATAAAAATCGCTGACAAGCGGCAGAGGAAAACTTTCCTCATTACCCCGAAGAGCAGCTTCAATCATCTACTGCTTAGCTGCTTCCACACCACACTCCAAAATTACTGATTAGGAAGCAGAACAGAGCTGTCTGGCGACCAAAAGCAGGCGCCAGTGGCCTCCTGGAACAGGCAGCAGAGGACAATGAGAGATTCTGGGCTTCAATGAAGGAAGAGGGTGGCTCTCTCCCCATTTATTACTGAGCAAACTATTTGTTTTAAAAGCACATCGAATGCCGCTCCACCTGGGCCCACACTCCTGACATTTAGAGTTAAAGCAGCATATAGACTGGGATTAATTCTCCTTCATAAATATGAAATAATAAATTAAGGACGAAAGTGCACTGAAAGGCCACTTTAGGGGCTAATCTTTTAAAGGGCGGCAATGCTTCGCTGAGCCAGGTTGCCTGTTAAAACTGTAAATCAAGGGCGGACGACTAGGCAGGAGCTCTCTCTCCTCCACCCCTTTTGGGCCCACGGTGGCTGTGAGGTGAGGGGGGCTTTGGCATGGGCGGGGAAGGGGCCAGGACTCCCCTCAGGCCCGGCCCAGGTGGGCACATTCACCTGTCTTCGCTCGCCCCACACATGCGGACCCTCTCACTGTTCATCCAGCTGTGAACGTTCCCATACAGGGGAGTTGCTGAGAGCATGTCGTCTTCTGGGATGGCAGCTTTGCTTCAAGCGTCTAGTCTGTTTAAAAGAGAGAGAAAAAAAAATCCCAGGAGGTTCAGTAAAGAAGAGCCAAGCAGGGAGCTAGAGAAGACCTCCTTCTAGGTGATTCATACAGGATGCAGACTGGGAAGGCAGGCTGTGCCTGCTGCCTACAGTGGTGTGGGAGCCAAGGACACCTGACTTGAAGGGACGGCGGAGGGGCATGCAGCTTCCCTGGCAGGAGGTGCTGGGGTTGGGGAAGAACTTTAATTCGAACAGGCAGCCTCATCCAAGGCACACCACAGCACAGCACCCACCCACCCCCTTTCCCAGCCTCTGAAAGTGTACAGTGGTCATTCATTCCTGCCACTTGTTAAAGAAGGTAGAGAAGACTTGATTCACCAAGGGGAGGCTGTGACAATAGGTTCAGGGATGCTGCATCACTGGGAGGCACACAACTCATCTTTCTTGGGGCCAAAAGGGTGCAAGAAGGGTGGACGGCACCACAGTGAGGTGAGCGGCAGGTCCAGGTCTCAAACTACATGCGTTTCTAGGGCTGAATTTCCAAGACTGTCGTGTGTGCAACTTACAGATTGATAGTGAAAAAGAGTCGGTGGGCTGGTGAGCCGCCCCACCGGAGCCCTGGATTAGATTAAGCACCTAACCCGGGTGGTTTTGCCTGGGAGCTGCAGAGGGAGGCGGCTGAGTAATTCAATGACGCCTGCTCGCCGGGGACGAGAAATCATTAGCGAGCACAGAAGTCTTAGCAGCCCTGGCTGATGGGCTCTGAGCCGCTGGCACATGGGGAGCCAGCAGAAGCCACCCATTTTCCACCTCCCGGGAGGGGGAGGCTGCCAAGGCAGAGGAGCTCAGACCACCTCCTACCCCCTCTTACCTCCTCTGCCCACCACCCCCACCCACATCACATTCTAGTTTGCTGCATGAGTGAAGGGTCAGGACAAGCTGCATTTTATTAACAGGATTATCACGGCGCGTGATTTATCCTCGTGCAGGATTTTAATTGCTCTTTGGAGGTTGAGCCGTTTCTTTTGACTGCGCTTCAGCCCATATCCTGCTGTTAAATGCTGGGTTAATAAGTAGGGGAGCCTTTAATGCCTGGGACTGATGGCCCTCGGCAATTCCCTGCTCACAAACACATCTCAGTGTCCCTTGTCCGGACTGGCCATGGCATTTTTCCACGGGACCCAAACCTGGGTGTGAAATAATTGGCGTGCAGATCATCGGGGAACTTTTCTTTCTCCTCCCTCACACACCCACCCACACAGTTTCCGAAAGCCCAAATGTTCCCTAAGTCGACACATTTCCTTTGTTAGCAGGAAAAAATATGCAAATGCTTGCTTTTACACTTTAGCACACGGAGCAGACTGCCAGGTCGGTTGGGTCTGAGGCACCAGGTCCGGGGACTCTTCGGTGAGAGTGATTGAGGGTGGGGGTTGGGGGGATACCTGGGGGGATGGAATCCCAAAGCCGGTCTGTACTTCCACATTTCTTTGTCCTAACTAGGTCTTTTGTCCACCAGCATCCCCCATCGTCCCCCATCCATAGAACAACGTCTGTTAATCAAAATCCACATGCACTGACACACCACGTATAGTTAGAGCTCAACAATGAGGCTGGAAGAAAAGGAAAGGGCCCAAGAAAGAGGCAGAAATCTGCAGAGGCATCAGGTTGGCTGGGGTTCTGGAAAGCTATTTCTCTAGGAAGGGTCTCCAGATAGCTGCTCTTCCAATGGGCTAGCCACAGCGCCCCCAAAAGACTGACTCAGCTGTTGGGGAAAGTTCTGTGGGGGCTCATGGGCTTTTCTTCCATCTTCCCAAGACACAAATGAAGTGGGGAAGGCCACCACTAGTGCTGGGCAGACCACAAGGCACATTCAATGCAGTGACAGTGTACCTTCTCTGGCACCGCTGCCCCTTCTGACAAAAGGAAAACATTCTGGGTAGCATAATAGAGAATGTGGAGCACCACTGCCTAGTGCCAGGGTGTCCCGGTCATCCGGCTGCACTAGTGGGACTGCACCATGCCATCCCCTCACTGTGCCATGATGAAATGCAGAAATGACATCATGAGCCAAAAGGTCACTCAATCAAATCCCCAAGGAAAGGATGAGGGAAGAAGCAGCGTGTGCCTAATAAACCTCGATGTTCTGCTGTCTCTGTTCTTAAAAACAGGCCTCCCCTTTTAAAAAGCTGTCTCCTACCCACCTCCCTTAAGTAGACACCTTGTGCAAGGGATCTCCCAGCACCTTCCTGGGAAACAGAATCATTCCACTGAGGCCTGGGCCCGAAAAGGCCAGTGGCTGCTTCCCCTCAAAGGGCCTTTCTTCAGCAAAGGCGACCTGGACTTAGCAGAAATGTGACTGCAGTTTAGAGGCACCTGGGCCTATGGGTGCTTTCAAAGCATCTCCCCTTCTTCAGGGCTCCTCCTTCAAGGCTTTCAATATTAATGGCACACAGATAAATGACACCAGCCATCAGAACAAAGTGTTCTCACATGCACAGGGTCAGACGGAGGGCTGAGGCCAGCAGAGCAGTTCACTGTTATCTCTCTCTCTCTCTGTGTGTGTGTGTGTGTGTGTGTGTGTGTGTGTGTGTGTGTATGTTTTGGGAGGGAAGTGGAGGATGGGGCTGAACATATAAGCAAAAGGGGGGAACGCATTGTTGGATCCTGCTGTAGACTACACACACACACACACACACACACACACACACACACACACACTTATAATCTTTAGCTGCCCCATGAACTTTTTGTGAACTGTTTAAAAGTGGAGGTCTGTTGAACAAACAGCGGCGCCACTGCCAGCCATAATTTCATTGCAACAAGCCAAAGACTTTTAACTCTTCAGGTTCCTGGCCAAAGATGGAGAGGAGTGGAAAGGGCCAAAGAGCAATGGCCCTGGCTGGCAGGAGGCCCTCTTCCTGGGTGACGAACAAGAGCAATCCAAACCCACAAAAGCAGAGGCCTTCTTCGCAAAAGCCAAATGGCTCACACCAAGCCTCTGCTGAAGAACAGGGGTCACCATTACCCACACCCACCCTGGTTTCTCTGGATGTACAACAAAGAGGACATTGGGGTAAGAAACAGAAAGAGACTGGGAGGCAGAGTATAGGAACATCGAACCCTACTTCTAGAAGCTGCTGTTGAAATAACTGGAGACTTTTTCACCTCTAAGGCCAAGTGCTTCGAAACCGATGTTGCTGACCCTTGGCAGCAGAACATGGTGGAGAGGGCAAATGATGTGATTTCAATGACAAACAGCACCGCAGGGTGCTTTGCAACTATAGGTGAAGCTTGTTTGCTTTTATTTTTTCAATGCCCACCTCCAGCCCCCACTTCTTCCAAATGCAGGCTATGTTTCCAGAAGTGCCAAGATGTGTGAAGTCACTCATGAAAAGCACTTTACAAGCACCAACCTGTTCCACTGTGAGCTGCGAAGCTGCACCTTGGATCTGGGTTTTAACTCCTTTTTCTAGCAGTGGAGAGAAGTGGGCAAAGGTGCTGGATAGGGATGAGGAGGAAAGATGGGTGAGAAGAGGTCAGATGTGCTTTCTAAAAAACAGACTGGGCACTGGAGTATGCCTGCTGGAACACCCAGGGCCAAGCGGAGAGACCTGGCTTGCGAGAAGCAGGCACTCACACTGCATACTGTGTGGTCTCCAGCTCTTAGCACTGTGGAAATGGAACACAAGAGGAGAGCTTGGGTCACCCTCAACAGACTCCGAGTAGTTATTCACTCTACAGCCAAGGGTGCTGATGAGAGTACCTGAGCTTGGCCTGGACACTGGGAAGAAGGGCTTGATTGGTAGAAGGGGGTCAAGGGACCAAGATCAGAAGCCATCACTCCAATCTTGGCATCCCTGAGTAGGGGCACAGCCGCCCTCTGTGAAAAGATGTGAGGGGAGACCACTCCAGAAGCATCTCCCAGCTCCCCATGGAAAACTCAACTAGATGTAGAAGTCCATGTTAAAACTTAGAGGAGACTTGGGGGAGGCGGGCTACTGGGTGGGCAGAAGAGAATGAACTAGATTTGCAGATATCCTGTAGGCTGTACACCCAGAGGCTAAAGTTGCACACGGAAGGGTAGAATATCGAATTAAGTCAGCCCTAAATGATCTTCCAAAACCCAGGGAGGACGAGGCAGGTGCTGATCAGTTAAAGCCTGCACATTACACTTGTCAAGTGGTACTGACAATATGGAAAGCATTGCCACCAAACTAATTCCGCTCACGTCTCCCTGCTGTCCACACAGGCACTGAGGGTGGCCCATCTCGGGGTCTTTTCTCCAGAATCTCTCTCACTAGGTTCCCCTTGCCCCCACTGTCAGCTCTCCAGTTAGTGGCCAGAAGGACTGGACAGGCTCGCAAGGGCTTCCAGCTCAGGTGGCAAGGCAGGCATCCGGGGTCCCAGCCAGTGTGCTGGGGTCCTCTGGGACAAGGACTCTTCAGGGGAGGAATCTCGATACTGCGTGGCTGGTTCTCTGTGGAGAACATGGTTACCACAGCCTCCCAGCTCCCACCCTCACCCACCTCGTGGCTCTGGGCAGGTGGCTGAACCTCTCCAACCTTGGTCCCCTCTGTAAATATTTGGCACTGTGTTTTCCAAAGGATTAAGCTGCACTATGGACTTGAGTTTTGCCTGGCAATAGCTAGTGCTGGCCACGTTTAACCCCACTAAAGAGCATCTGACTCCACCGAACATACTGTGTAACAAGCCCCAGAATCACGCAGTTTCTTTGGGGCAGTACCACCTCATCCTGCGGGGGAGGCTGAGGCAGCAACACAGAGAGGGTCAGAGCAGGGAGGGGCGACCTTCAGCAGAACTGTGTAGATTTCACAGAAGCCCAAAGCTCACCACCCGCCAGCCCTTCCTGGGGTTGCTCCAAACACAGACTGCGTCACAGCAGCAGCGCTGTGCTCCTGGTGTCAAGGAAAGGAGGGGTGAAGAAGTTCCTATTTTAGGATGTGAGAGGTGGGGGTGGGAGATGAGAAGAAAAAGCTCTTCCGGATGTGCGGTGT